AGGTGGGGATGAGGAATGGGAGGTGGGGATGAGGAATGGGAGGTGGGGATGAGGAATGGGAGGTGGGGATGAGGAATGGGAGGTGGGGATGAGGAATGGGAGGTGGGGATGAGGAATGGGAGGTGGGGATGAGGAATGGGAGGTGGGGATGAGGAATGGGAGGTGGGGATGAGGAATGGGAGGTGGGGATGAGGAATGGGAGGTGGGGATGAGGAATGGGAGGTGGGGATGAGGAATGGGAGGTGGGGATGAGGAATGGGAGGTGGGGATGAGGAATGGGAGGTGGGGATGAGGAATGGGAGGTGGGGATGAGGAATGGGAGGTGGGGATGAGGAATGGGAGGTGGGGATGAGGAATGGGAGGTGGGGATGAGGAATGGGAGGTGGGGATGAGGAATGGGAGGTGGGGATGAGGAATGGGAGGTGGGGATGAGGAATGGGAGGTGGGGATGAGGAATGGGAGGTGGGGATGAGGAATGGGAGGTGGGGATGAGGAATGGGAGGTGGGGATGAGGAATGGGAGGTGGGGATGAGGAATGGGAGGTGGGGATGAGGAATGGGAGGTGGGGATGAGGAATGGGAGGTGGGGATGAGGAATGGGAGGTGGGGATGAGGAATGGGAGGTGGGGATGAGGAATGGGAGGTGGGGATGAGGAATGGGAGGTGGGGATGAGGAATGGGAGGTGGGGATGAGGAATGGGAGGTGGGGATGAGGAATGGGAGGTGGGGATGAGGAATGGGAGGTGGGGATGAGGAATGGGAGGTGGGGATGAGGAATGGGAGGTGGGGATGAGGAATGGGAGGTGGGGATGAGGAATGGGAGGTGGGGATGAGGAATGGGAGGTGGGGATGAGGAATGGGAGGTGGGGATGAGGAATGGGAGGTGGGGATGAGGAATGGGAGGTGGGGATGAGGAATGGGAGGTGGGGATGAGGAATGGGAGGTGGGGATGAGGAATGGGAGGTGGGGATGAGGAATGGGAGGTGGGGATGAGGAATGGGAGGTGGGGATGAGGAATGGGAGGTGGGGATGAGGAATGGGAGGTGGGGAGAGGACTGGAGGTGGGGATGAGGAATGGGAGGTGGGGATGAGGATATGGGAGGTGGGGATGAGGAATGGGAGGTGGGGATGAGGAATGGGAGGTGGGGATGAGGAATGGGAGGTGGGGATGAGGAATGGGAGTGGGGATGAGGAATGGGAGGTGGGGATGAGGAATGGGATGGTGGGGATGAGGAAGGGAGGTGGGGATGAGGAATGGGAGGTGGGGATGAGGAATGGAGGTGGGGATGAGGAATGGGAGGTGGGGATGAGGAATGGGATGGGGGGATGAGGAATGGGAGGTGGGGATGAGGAATGGGGTGGGGATAGGAATGGGAGGTGGGGAGAGAATGGGAGGTGGGGATGAGGAATGGGAGGTGGGGATGAGGAATGGGAGGTGGGATGAGGAATGGGGAGTGGGGATGAGGAATGGGAGGTGGGGATGAGGAATGGGAGGTGGGTGGGCTGAGGAATGGGAGGTGGGGATGAGGAATGGGAGGTGGGGATGAGGAATGGGAGGTGGGGATGAGGATATGGTGAATTGGGTGGGGATGAGGAATGGGAGGTGGGGATGAGAATGGGAGGTGGGGATGAGGAATGGGAGGTGGGGATGAGGAATGGGAGGTGGGGATGAGGAATGGGAGGTGGGGATGAGGAATGGGAGGTGGGGATGAGGAATGGGAGGTGGGGATGAGGAATGGGAGGTGGGGATGAGGAATGGGAGGTGGGGATGAGGAATGGGAGGTGGGGATGAGGAATGGGAGGTGGGGATGAGGAATGGGAGGTGGGGATGAGGAATGGGAGGTGGGGATGAGGAATGGGAGGTGGGGATGAGGAATGGGAGGTGGGGATGAGGAATGGGAGGTGGGGATGAGGAATGGGAGGTGGGGATGAGGAATGGGAGGTGGGGATGAGGAATGGGAGGTGGGGATGAGGAATGGGAGGTGGGGATGAGGAATGGGAGGTGGGGATGAGGAATGGGAGGTGGGGATGAGGAATGGGAGGTGGGGATGAGGAATGGGAGGTGGGGATGAGGAATGGGAGGTGGGGATGAGGAATGGGAGGTGGGGATGAGGAATGGGAGGTGATGAGGAATGGGAGGTGGGATGAGGATGGGAGGTGGGGATGAGGAATGGGAGGTGGGGATGAGGAATGGGAGGTGGGATGAGGAATGGGAGGTGGGGATGAGGAATGGGAGGTGGGATGAGGAATGGGAGGTGGGGATGAGGAATGGAGGTGGGGATGAGGAATGGAGGTGGGGATGAGGAATGGAGGTGGGGATGAGGAATGGAGGTGGGATGAGGAATGGGAGGTGGGATGAGGAATGGGAGGTGGGGATGAGGAATGGGAGGTGGGATGAGGAATGGGAGTGGGGATGAGGAATGGGAGGTGGGGATGAGGAATGGGAGGTGGGGATGAGGAATGGGAGGTGGGGATGAGGAATGGGAGGTGGGGATGAGGGAATGGGAGGTGGGGATGAGGAATGGGAGGTGGGATGAGGAATGGGAGGTGGGGATGAGGAATGGGAGGTGGGGATGAGGAATGGGAGGTGGGATGAGGAATGGGAGGTGGGGATGAGGAATGGGAGGTGGGGATGAGGAATGGGAGGTGGGGATGAGGAATGGGAGGTGGGGATGAGGAATGGGAGGTGGGATGAGGAATGGGAGGTGGGGATGAGGAATGGGATGAGGAATGGGATGGGATGAGGAATGGGACGGTGGGGATGAGGAATGGGAGGTGGGGATGAGGAATGGAGGTGGGGATGAGGAATGGGAGGTGGGGATGAGGAATGGGAGGTGGGGATGAGGAATGGGCAGGTGGGGATGAGGAATGGGAGGTGGGGATGAGAATGGGAGGTGGGGGATGAGGAATGGGAGGTGGGGATGAGGAATGGGAGGTGGGGATGAGGAATGGGAGGTGGGGATGAGGAATGGGAGGTGGGGATGAGGAATGGGAGGTGGGGATGAGGAATGGGAGGTGGGGATGAGGAATGGGAGGTGGGGATGAGGAATGGGAGGTGGGGATGAGGAATGGGAGGTGGGGATGAGGAATGGGAGGTGGGTGGGGATGAGGAATGGGAGGTGGGGATGAGGAATGGGAGGTGGGGATGAGGAATGTTGGAGGTTTGGGGATGAGGAATGGGAGGTGGGGATGAGGAATGGGAGGTGGGGATGAGGAATGGGAGGTGGGGATGAGGAATGGGAGGTGGGGATGGGACTGGGAGGTGGGATGAGGAATGGGAGGTGGGTATGAGGAATGGGAGGTGGGGATGAGGAATGGCGAGGTGGGGATGAGGAATGGAGGTGGGGATGAGGAATGAAAGGTGGGGATGAGGAAGGAGGTGGGGATGAGGAATGGGAGGTGGGGATGAGGAATGGGAGGTGGGGATGAGGAAGGGAGGTGGGGATGAGGAATGGGAGGTGGGATGAGGAATGGGAGGTGGGGGATGAGGAATGGGACGGTGGGATGAGGAATGGGAGGTGGGATGAGGAATGGGAGGTGGGGATGAGGAATGGGAGGTGGGGATGAGGAATGGGAGGTGGGGATGAGAATGGGAGGTGGGGATGAGGAATGGGAGGTGGGGATGAGGAATGGGATGGTGGGGATGAGGAATGGGAGGTGGGGATGAGGAAGGAGGTGGGGATGAGGAATGGGAGGTGGGGATGAGGAATGGGAGGGGGGGATGAGGAATGGGAGGTGGGGATGAGGAATGGGAGGGGGGGATGAGGAATGGGAGGTGGGGATGAGGAATGGGAGGTGGGGATGAGGAATGGGAGTTGGGGATCGAGGAATGGAGGTGGGGATGAGGAATGGGATGTGGGGATGAGGAATGGGAGGTGGGGGATGAGGAATGGGAGGTGGGGTATGAGGAATGGGAGGTGGGGATGAGGAATGGGAGGTGGGGATGAGGAATGGGAGGTGGGGCATGAGGAATGGGGAGGTGGGGATGAGGAATGGGAGGTGGGGTATGAGGAATGGGAGGTGGGGATGAGGAATGGGAGGTGGGGATGAGGAATGGGAGGTGGGGATGAGGAATGGGAGGTGGGGATGAGGAATGGGAGGTGGGGATGAGGAATGGGAGGTGGGGATGAGGAATGGGAGGTGGGGATGAGGAATGGGAGGTGGGGATGAGGAATGGGAGGTGGGGATGAGGAATGGGAGGTGGGGATGAGGAATGGGAGGTGGGGATGAGGAATGGGAGGTGGGGATGAGGAATGGGAGGTGGGGATGAGGAATGGGAGGTGGGGATGAGGAATGGGAGGTGGGGATGAGGAATGGGAGGTGGGGATGAGGAATGGGAGGTGGGGATGAGGAATGGGAGGTGGGGATGAGGAATGGGAGGTGGGGATGAGGAATGGGAGGTGGGGATGAGGAATGGGAGGTGGGGATGAGGAATGGGAGGTGGGGATGAGGAATGGGAGGTGGGGATGAGGAATGGGAGGTGGGGATGAGGAATGGGAGGTGGGGATGAGGAATGGGAGGTGGGGATGAGGAATGGGAGGTGGGGATGAGGAATGGGAGGTGGGGATGAGGAATGGGATGGTGGGGATGAGGAATGGGAGGTGGGGATGAGGAATGGGAGGTGGGAATGAGGAATGGGAGGTGGGGATGAGGAATGGGAGGTGGGGATGAGGAATGGGAGGTGGGGATGAGGAAACATCACATGCATCCTTGCTCGAGCATCGCACCTCACCGCCCTGCTCCTTCCTTTCCTCCCTCCGATTCTCTCGTTTAGCAGTCAGCAGCTGCTGATTTCAACGACAACACAGGCCTCTTTGCACGCTTGCATTGCAGGTTCCACTCAGCTGATACCCCATTCAACACTTTTTCTCTGCTCTTCCCTCCCTCTGCGCAGTTGCTTATTTGAATGACATCTCGAACCTCCTAGCACGCTTGCCCCACCACAACTTTCCTCTCTTTTCCTGTCCCATTCCTTCCCTTTCTACCCATCTGCCTCTAAAGAAATCAGCAGCGGCTTATTTCAACGACATAACGCGCCTCCTAGCACGCTTGCCGCGTGTGCTTCTGCTGCTGCTCAAGACCAACGACTGCCTTCGGTCTTTGGATACTGCCCTGGTGAGAATTTTCCTTTATTTCTCACTACAGTGTTTCCCTTCACTTGACTGTCATGCTTGCCCCGTGTGCTGCTGCTGATCCTCAAAACCAACGACTGCCTGCGGTCCTTGGGTTCTGCTCTGGTGAGATTCCCGTTTTGATCAACTGTGTTATCCTTCATTTGACTGGTGTGCTGTTGCTGCTGCTGCTGCTGCTCCTCAAAACCAACAACTACCTTCAGTCCTTGGATACAGCACTGGTGAGAAATCACCGTTCCCCTCGTGCAATATTTGCTGCTGCAAATCACCGTTCAGTCCTTAATCCCCCCCTCTCTGTTTCACCCTGCATCTTGTGTCCATATGCTGTCTGTCTCTTCATGTCCATCACCCTTAAACACATCACACCAGGGCACCCTTTCCTCTGTTGCATTGTTGAGAATTTTCCCAGAATCCCTGACTGTTTTCTCCGTTGCACCCTGCGTCCCTTGTCCCCGTGCTATCCACTTATGTTCATCCCCCTTACATGTACATCGCGTGCAGGGAACTCCAGTCAACACATTCATGATCACCGCACGGGAATGCACTCAGGCAATCGCAGAAGCAGACGAGAAAGCTCTAATCTCCAAGGCTCCGAACTCATTGGCACTTCGGTGGAAAGCGTATGTGCACAAAAGGCTGCAAATAGCTCAGGTGGAGATGCAACTGTTGAAACTGGAAGCAGCGGTTTGGCTTGCTCACCTTGCCATGTGGGCCAAGGGATTTGCACACAGGTGGAAATGGTGGGAGAAAGAGGTATCGTCTAAAAAGAAAGGCGAATTACTGCAACTTGCCCCATCATAGTGGTCTGATAATTATATGGTTCGACTCTACGCGGTGATTATCAAGCAATGAGAGGTGGTGCATCTGCTCATACAGAGTCTGATTATTTCAGGTAACGAGTTCTACAGTGTACCATTTGAAGGTATCCCTTGCAGAGCTGATTTGGTCCGTACAGATTTCTCTAGGGCCCGCAACCAGAGTCAGCCGGGCGGACAGAATCCGTCAGTTTTGCTCCTCTCATTCCCTAGCGTTGTCAGTGCGTAGTGTAGTGCGTGAATCCGTTGCGCTAGCGTCTCCTGCGGAACAGGTATCAATCGCTCCGGACCGCTCCTCACCGCACCTTACCGCATTGTCATTGTCTCGCCGCTTCCGCGCGGTTCAGCCACTTGGATTGGTATAATGGAGCGGTACGACGTGGTGGTGGTGGGTGCGGGCATCATGGGCAGCTGCGTCGCGTACGAGCTCGCGAAGCGCGGGCGGTCCGTGCTGCTGCTGGAGCAGTTTGATTTGCTACACCGCCGAGGTGAGTGGAGAAAGGGTGCTGTCAATCGCTCAGCACCGCACATAACCGCATTGGCGCATCTCACCACGCGTTACCGCACCTCGCCGCATCATGGGCAGCTGCGCGGCGTACGAGCTCGCGAAGCGCGGTCGGTCCGTGCTGCTATTGGAGCAGTTTGATTTGCTGCACCGCCGAGGTGAGGGAAAGATAGAGGATAGGTTGATTTGTTGGCGAGGTGATGTTATCGAATAGGCTCTTAACGAGGATGCTGCTGGAGCAGTTTGACCTGCTGCACGGACGGGGTGACGAAGAGAAATCCTGCTGATTTGATTTCGGGTGCAATTAAAAATGATGTTTTTTTACACCCTCCTCCCCTCCTACCCTCCTCCCCTGCTTGTGTCGAGTCGTCTCAATGCGTCCCTCCTCTGCCTACTCTGATCTCCAGGCTCATCCCACGGGGAGGCTCGAATAATCAGGAGAACTTACCCTGAAGATTAATTATTACACTGCGCTCATACAACCCACTCTCATCCACCCTTGCTTCCTTCTCCTCTGGTCTCCAGGCTCTTCCCACGGCGAGTCTCGAATAATCAGGAGAACTTACCCTGAAGACCACTACACTGCGCTCATGCCGCTTGCTTATAAGCTGCTTCTAACGAGGCTGGATACTCCCCCCTTACCATCACCGGTGGCTTGGATTTCGGCCCCCGCAGCAATGCTGACCTGGCAGCCGTTCTCGCCAGCTGTCGCAACCATGGCGTGCCACATCAGCTTCTCGAAAGAGCTGCATTGAGTGATCGATTCCCGATGTTCAACTTTCTGGATGGTTCTTCGTCTGACGATGATTTGGTCGGCGTGTTTTGTCCTGATGCGGGGGTGCTGCATGCAACGAAAGCCGTGGCCATGTTCCAACAGCTGGCGGCGAAGCACGGGGCGGCACTACAAGACAAAACAGCGGTTACTGCCATCGAGCCACTACAGGACAAAGAAGCAGCAGCTGCAGGGATGGCAAATTCTGGTCGGATTCGTGTGGTAACCAGCAGAGGCAGCGTTACATGTAATGACTGTGTTGTGGCAGGAGGGGCATGGGCGGGAAAATTATTAGAAAGGGCAACAGGGAGGAAGCTTCCTCTGCAGGCACTAAGAACCACCGTGTCGTATTGGAGGGTTGCTGGGGAGGGAGGGGCAGATGCTGATTGTGCTCCTGCTGCTGCTGCTGCTGCTGCTGCTGCTGGTTGTGATACTCACACTGCTGCTGCTGCTGCTGCTGCTGCTGATACTGCTGCTGTCGGTGCTAATAATGCTGCTGCTGCTGCTGCTGCTGCTGCTGCTGATTCTGCTAGTAGCAGCACTTCCATTCCGTTATTTATCAACTATGACGAACCATACGTGTACGGCATTCCGAGCCTGGAGTTCCCGGACCTGATTAAGGTCTCCATCCATTCCGGCCTGCCCTGCCCCGATCCTGACAACCGACCCTCTCTCCCGGACGTGCATGCGGTCCGGGCCGTGCTGGTGCCATGGCTGCAGGCCAGGTTCGGGAATAGGGTTACCACCGAGCCTGTGATGATGGAATCGTGTCTCTATACCATGACCCCGGACCAAGATTTCATAATCGATCGCATCCCATTGGCTACAGGAGAAGAAGAAGTAGCAGGAAGCAGGGCAAGCAGTAATGGAAGGGAGAGGATTTTTGGGGAGGGAACGCAAGGAGACGGGTCTCAAGAATATTGCGAAGAGACTGGAGGAGTGAATATTGTGGTAGCAGCAGGGTTTTCGGGGCATGGGTTTAAATTCGGTCCACTGGTTGGCAAAATGGCAGCGGATTTGGTGACTGGGTGTGTTGATGGGAGCAGTGGTGTTGATGGTACCAGTACCGGTATAAGTGAGGCGAGTGGTGGTGCGAGGGACGCGCTTGAATTGGTGAAGTGTGGGAAGGTTCTGCCTTTCTTCTCCCATAAGAGGTTCTTGGATGGAGGAGAAGGGAATTTGAAGGCCTGTGGGCCACAGGTCAGGCCTGTGGGGGATGGCTTGTAATTGTTCTCTCTCTCTCTCTCTCTCTCTCTCTCTCTCTCTCTCTCTCTCTCTCTCTCTCTCTCTCTCTCTCTCTCTCTCTCTCTCTCTCTCTCTCTCTCTCTCTCTCTCAAGAGAGCTGTTGAAAGCAACCAATCCGAGCTCAAAGACTTGTACAGGAAGGGTAAAGGAAAGGAATGTGAATGGCGTGAGTCACTTGTCGGGCCAAAATGGCAATGCAGGACATGAAAGGGAAATGAGGCATCTTGTGGTTACATGACGCAAGTCTGTGCAATTGTGTACATATTTCGAGGATACCGTGTAACGCGTTCTGTAGGGCTTGGTTTGGTCTGGAACCAACAGTTCAAGTCCGTCTCCGCGACACATGAACCCGTAAATTTGGGACAGCTGGTTTGTTGACAGCGCGAGAGGACTCCACGTCAGCAATGAACGAACTTACGTGATTTTTCTGGACCTAACTGATTCTCTGCCACGTTACCTCATGCAGTGTGGACCTTGCATTGCGAGCGTGGCGGACCCGGACTGTAGGAGGGTGTCCAATTGCCTTCACGCTCGGTACACAGAGGCTAAAATATTCGCTGTATTTACTGTACAGTGACCGTGGTCATCAGGAAGAATCGGGATCCAATTTCCTTGTGGCGACTTTCGCCGCAACCACAATAATTCGCCTTCCTTGCAAAACGCAAGCAACAAATGACAACGGGGAATTGCGATCTTTGTGTACAACAAAGCAGCAAGGGTCAGGCTTGGCTTGGCTTGGATGGATGGGGCAACAGGGATTGGGCTTGACAACCAAGCCAACCTCGATGATGCGCGTCTTACCCGGAGGTCAATTACCTTTCGATCTTGTGTTAGTCCGTGGTCGTGAAGTGAAGTCGTGATTCTTGTTACTTGCAGTGTGATGCACTTCGCTGTTTCATGGTTCTCGGTTTCCACGTAATCGACTAGCCCGTAGAATTCTTGTGATTGAAGTACACCCGAGTTCCTCATAATCTTTCGTTTTTTTCTCGTTAGAGTGTCTTCCGTCGTGTCGCGAGTGGTCGTGTAAGAACGCGTTTTCCAAGATGAGTAGAGGCGTAGGTCAAGGCGGTTTTCCGAACCCTAATCAGGACCCGTTCGGCGGGATGAGTTTCGGATTCAGTCCAAGCCTTTTCAACGATCCGGTATTCTCAGACCCCTTTTTCACGGATCCTTTCGGGTCCATGTTTGGTCGTCAAGGCGGGATAGCTGGACGCGGAATTCCCGGCGGGATTTTCGGCGGGGAATTTGGAGCTTTCGGGTCGATGTTTCCGCAAGCACCGATGCTGCCGCCCGCTTCGCCGTTCGGATTCGACGACCATGTGAGGATAAGGGATGGGATGCTTCTATGAGACGAATCAGACCTTTGCTACTCGAACAGCTTATTTTTTTAACACATATATTATTGTTTCTTGTTCCCTTGATTCTCATTCGTGTTATTTCCTGTTTATGTGCAGCATCAGCGTCAGCATCAGGAGCATCATAACAGGCACCTTCAGCAGCAGCAGCAACAGCGGCAGCAGCAGCAGCAGCAGCAGCAGCAGCAGCAGCAACAGCGGCAGCAGCAGCAGCAACAGCGGCAGCAGCAGCAGCAGCAGCAGCAGCAGCAGCAGCAGCAGCAGCAGCAGCAGCAGCAGCAGCAGCAGCAGCAGCGACAGCAGCAGCGTCAGCGTCACCAGGAGCAGCACGTATCTGCACCGGCCATTCAAGAAGTTCACGATGACGACGAAACCGGGTTACCGCATGGTTACCACAGCACCAGCAGCAGGGGAGCGAAACCGTCCAATTCTCGCGAATCCGGCGGCGAACGAGCAGGGCGAAGGAGCCGAGCTTATATCGCGAAAGAGCCTATAGTGGAGCTTCCAGACGATGAGGAGGAGGAGCAGCAGGACGGGAAGAGGAGGCGAGAACGCGAGGAGGAGGAAGATGAGGGAGCAGAGGCGGAAAACGTGGAGGGCGGAGCGTATGAGCGGCAGCAGCAGTACTCGCAGCAAAGGAGCGCGGCTTATCAGCAGCAGCAGCAGCAGCAGAGAAGCTCTAGGAGGGAGCAGGGTCGCGGCCCTCAGCAGCAAGGTAATCTTCTGGTTACGGTGTTACCACTGTTACTTGTTCACATTGTTAGTAGCGTTACCGGTTTGAACAGCATCAGAAACGGCCTTTTTTTTCTGTCCTGTTTCTCTCTCGCTCTATTCCCCCACGCCTTACAGCCGCGCCAAATCACACCCACGAAACGCGTGTCACCTCATCGTCGCCCTTCAACGCTCTCAGCCTCTTCGGTGGCGGATTTGGCGGCGGATTTGGCGCTGGCTTCGGTGGCGCGTTGGCTGGGCTTGGGGGAGCGGCAGGAGGCGGCTCGTCCTACTCCTTCCAGAGCTCAACGGTCACCTACTCGGGGATAGGCGGGCAGACGTACTACTCTGAATCGTCCTCGCACCAAATCGCTGCCAACGGGGTGAGTGGCTCTATCCAATCTGTGAAATTTGGTGGTTTGGTAGTGGGGCGTGGTAGTGGGGCGTGGCAGTGGGTTTGATAGTGGGTCTGGTGCTTGGCATGACTAGTGGGCTTGGGGGAACGGAAGGAGGGTCTCGTTCTACTCCTTCCAGAGCTCATCGGTTACCAACTCGGGGATAGGCGGGCAGACTTAATAGTCCGAATCGTCTTCCCACCAAATCGCTGCCAACGGGATGAGCGGTACAATTGAGCCTGGTATTCACTGTAAAGGAGTCGGCTTTGTTAAATGCCTATCCTTGCCTCTCCTCGCGAAATGCCGACGCACATAATGACCGTTGTGTTGGTATTAATGTTTTCTGCCTATCCTCGCCCCTCCTCTGTACCCCTTCACCCCTCATCTATACTGCCTTCTCGCCTCTCCTACATCGCACCTCACCTCTCTTCACTGCTTTCCACCCCTCTGCATCGCAGGTGGTGGAGGCACAGCAACAGCGGCGGGACTCCAGGGGACACCAGAGCATGACCGTGGCGCGCGGGTTGGGAGACAAGGTGAGCTGGCAGGGGGTAGGGCTGGTAGGGCTGGCATCCCTGCATCCCATACGTCACTTGCATGGTACCTTCGATACGCTTTTGAATAAATCACCTAAGATTCTTCATCGCGTGCGTGACTCATTCCAGGATTCTGAGAAGCTTCTTAGTGCAAAAACGGAGGATTCTTAGAAGCTTCTTGGTCAAAACGGACGAGCTATCTAAGATGAACACGGAAGTTGCCACACTGAAGTCCGAACGCTGCCACACTCAGAATCTCGGTGGCTGCGGCTTCAGACTTCAGTGTGGCAACCTCCACACTTATCTCAGACAGCTCGTTCGTTTTGCTGGCAGGGGGTAGGACTGGTTGGGTTGGCAGGGGGTAGGGCTGGCAGGGGGTAGGGCTGGCAGGGGGTAGGGCTGGCAGGGGGTAGGACTGGCAGGGGGTAGGACTGGCAGGGGGTAGGACTGGCAGGGGGTAGGACTGGCAGGGGGTAGGACTGGCAGGGGGTAGGACTGGCAGGGGGTAGGACTGGCAGGGGGTAGGACTGGCAGGGGGTAGGACTGGCAGGGGGTAGGACTGGCAGGGGGTAGGACTGGCAGGGGGTAGGACTGGCAGGGGGTAGGACTGGCAGGGGGTAGGACTGGCAGGGGGTAGGACAAGCTCTGGCGGGCTTGAATGCATGAGCGGCGGTTCTCGAGGGGACACCCGAGCATGGTAATGGCACGCGTGTTGGGTAACAAGGGGAGCTGCTTAGGGGGTTCGGGTTTTGTTTGTCGTGGTGTCTCACCACTCTCTACTCTAGCAACCCACCCACCTGGCTAGACGTGATTTCTAAATTTAGTCAAACTTCCCCACTCCTCCCTCCCTGTGTGACAACAGGCACGCACCCTGAGCTCTCACCCGGGAGGGCGAGCAGCATGTTTTGTCATGTCCTCGCGGTACCTCCTCACCACTCCTCACCACTCCCCATCCCCCCATCTCCCCACATGACAACAGGCACGCACCCTGAGCTCTCACCCGGGAGGGCGAGCAGCATGTTTTGTCATGTCCTCGCAGTACCTCCTCACCACTCCTCACCACTCCCCATCCCCCCATCTCCCCACATGACAACAGGCACGCACCCTGAGCTCTCACCCGGGAGGGCGAGCAGCATGTTTTGTCATGTCCTCACAATACCTCCTCACCACTCACTACCTCTCACCACTCCTCCTTCCCCTGTCCTTTCCCCCACGCGACAACAGGCGCGCACCCTGAGCTGCACACGGGAGGGCGAGCAGCAGCGGTCGTACGAGATTCTGCACAACATGTCGCAAGGTGGGGGTGGTGGTGGGTGGGAGTGGTGGGGAGTGGTGGGGAGTGGTGGGTGGTGGTACGATGTCTGATTTCGTGGTTTGAGGGCGAGCAGCAGCGGTCGTACGAGATCCTGCACGACATGTTGCAAGGTGGGGGTGGGGGTGGGGGTGGGGGGTGGGGGTGGGGGTGGGTGGATTCAAGGTGGTACCCTTCAAAGTGCTTCAGTGTGGTGTTGAGACGCGTCAAAGGTTATACAAGATCCCGCACAATAGGTCACAAGGTGGGGCTTTAACGTGCAAAGTAGGGTTCAACGTGGGATTAAGTGTGGTTCAATGTGGTGTTGGGACGTGCCGTGGCAGCAGTCATACGAGATTCTTCACAACATGTCGCAAGGTGAGGAGTGATGATGTGTTGCGAGGTGTGGGCTTTGACGTGCAAGGTATGGGCTGGTGTTGATATGTCAGCAGTCATACGAGATTCTGCACAACATATCGCAAGGGGGGGAATGGTGATGTGAGTTTCGGGCATTCAGATGTGAGGTATGGGCTCAGATATTTGAATTTCGGGTTTGGAAATTCGACGTATCAATTTGTACTGTAGATCTTATCCCACTAGTCACATCACATGCTCTTGTCCACCCTTCCTCCTTCCTTCTCCTCCCCCTTCTCTCCACCAGAGGAAGCAGCAACCTTCGACAGCACATGGCAGCACCACGCTCATCACTCCCTCTTTGTCCTCCTCCTCAGTTCTTACAAACTCTTTTCTCTATTTCTCTTCATCTCCCCTTGGCATTCCATTGCAGAGGAAGCAGCAACCTTCGACAGCACATGGCAGCACCACGCACGTCACGCCCTCCCTCCCTCCGCCGCTGCTCCTCCTGCTCCTTCTGCCCGCCTCGCCCTCCCTTCCTCCGCTCACCGTTCCTCTTCTCGCCAACCCTCATCAAGGCCCCCCGGGGGGGCAAGAGGGCGAGGGCAGGCGTATGGGTATTAGAGCAGCCTGATCCAGCTGCCTCTGTTGCTCACCTCGCCCTCACGCCCTCCCTCCCTCAGCCTCCAGTTTTGCTTCCCCTTCTGCTGACTTGCTGGGGTGTGATAGTGGGACGTGGAGTGTTGTGTGTTGTGTTGTGATGTGCTGTACTGTGATGCAAGGATTCAATATGCGCAAGGGTGAAGTGGCCTTGAAATCTGGCTTGTATCATAAATGCAATGTACCATATAGGTTCACCTGTTATTTGTAAATAGCACAGGATTGAATCAGTATGAACCTCAAGTTTTGATCATTAATGATGTTCGTCGAATCGAAGCTCCTTTGTCCGATAATTCATGCTGGGTGCCCTGCCCACCAGTGGCCCCATGCCTTCAGGCTTGCTTAGATTCGCACCCAACGCTGTTGCAACCCACCTGCTGCGTGGTTTCCTTTCCAATCTGGTGGTAGCCTTTTCCTGTCTGCCCCATGGCTCCAACTACTTGTACCATAATGTCTTTATGGCACAAGTAGCCCAAGTGAAGCACAGCACAAGAGGTAAGCCTCAACAATTCACTATACAGGTACCTTCTTTCCTACAATATCTGCTACACTTGCTAACACATGCTTTTCCACCTGAGTTGATTCTGTTCCTCCTGCCACCCCACGATCCTCACAATGCAAAAGCCCTTCCAATTCCCCACCCCTCCGCCTCCCCACCACCCTATCAATCATCCCTTGTAGAATTTCACCCACTGCCGCCACCAACCCCCTAACAACTACTCCCACCGCTTTACACCGGTCCAAAAGCCACCTCTCGGCAGCACCCACATCCCCCAGCCAATCAAACGTCACAAAAAAATTAATTCCCAGAAACCCCAGGACAACCAACGCCGCCCCGACCATGTGAACAGTGTCTGGAAGGCTGTTGGCCTTCCAGCTGTCCACAGTGAGGGCGATGGGGATTTGAATCTGTAGCCCGGCTGTAGCGGCGGTGGGGGTGGTGAGGAGGACAGCTCGCGCCCAGAGGTAGTCACTCAAAACGTTGTCCAGCAGACCTGGGGTGGTGGGGAGGAAGCGGGAGAGAGAGGGGGAAGGCGCATGGAGAACATGGGGGAGGGGAGGAAGGGGGTGGTGAGGAGAACGGCTCGCGCCCAGAGGTATTCACTCAAGACGTTGTCAAGCAGACCTGGGGTGGTGCGGGAAAGGAGGGGGAAGGGAATGGGAAACACGTTGCTTGGCTTTAGTGAGCAGGACGGCTCGAGCCCACAGATAGTCACTCAATGCATTGTCTATCAGACCTGGGGTGGTGGGAAGCAGGAAGGGCGCAGGGAACACAAGGGAGGGGAGGAAGGAGGTGGTGAGCAGGATGGATTGCGCCCAGTGATAGTCACTCAGAACGTTGTCCAGCCGGGATCGTACCTCACCTTTGGCATTACTTTTGAGGCGCCTAAAATATCAGAGGGAAATGGGAGAATTCCTACCTTTAGCAATTACCAGACCCCACTGGGATGCGCTGGGCCAGGCGAACCACTCCCCTCGCACCCACTGCACCAGCAGCTCCACGGGAGCGAGCAGGAAGAGGTTGAAGAGTCCCACAACCTACTACCCTCCCTTGCTACTGCTGATAGGGTAGGGAGGCGTACCTTTGGCAATGACCAGCGTCCACTGGGAGGCGTCGGGCCATGCAAACCACTCGCCTCGCACCCACTGCACCAGCAGTCCCACGGGCGCCAGCAGGAAGAGGTTGAAGAGACCCAGATACCCAAACATGAGCGCCGTGCTGAACGGTACCTCCTCTTCCTCCTCCTCTCCTCCTTCCTCTTCTGCATCCCTCCTCTTCCTTACGCCCTTCCCCTCCCCATCCTTTTGCTCGTCTCCTTCCTCTTCCCCTTTCCCCACCTTCTCCCCCTCCCCTTTCTCCTCCTTGTGCTCTTCTATTTCCCTTTCCTCTCCCGCCTTTTCCTCCAGTTCCACCTCTGCTTTCCCGCTCCCTGCTCCAGCCACATCAAATCCCCAACCTCCCGATTCCACCCCTCCCTCCTCCCCTCGCTCCTCCTCTCCCCTCCCTCCCCTTCTCACTCCCTCCTCCCCTCCCTCCGTCCCTTCCTCCTCGCCCATCTCCTCAAACCCGCCTTCAGCAGGCGTGAAAGACCGTAGCATGGTGGTATAGAGAGCGTAGAAGCCCGCTGACATTAGCACCAGCACATCGCCTAACAGACTCTCCCTTGCATTACTCGCAACTGCGGCACTCGCCTCTGCCACAGCTGCAGCATCAAACGCACTCCCACCACCACCACCACCGGCACTTAGACCTGTGCTATTCCCACTGCCACTTAGCTCTGCGCCACTGCTACCACCGCCGCCGCTGCTGCTGTTGAAACCGCCGCTGGCGCTTAGGTTGCTAAGTGCGGCGTTTAGGGTGTTGCTGGCCTGGGCTTGGTCTGCCAGGGCGACTACAGCGGTGCCAGCCACACAGAGCAGCACGGAAAGCAGCTTGCGCAGGCAGAAGCGCTCGTGAAGGAGGTAGACGGAGAGAGCAAAGGTGAAGAGGCTTGACGTGCAGCTGAGAATGGTGTTGGACTGGAGGGGAAGTGGGGGGGAGAGAGGGGAGTGGGGGGGGACGGAGCGGGGAGGAGGGGAGGGAAAAGGAGGGAAGGGTGCAGCGATTCAGAGGAGAGACATAAGTGTGGAACAGAGCACAGCACCAAGCAGCACAGAGCCACACAGAGCAGCACGGAGAGCAGCTTGCGCAGGCAGAAGCGCTCGTGAAGGAGGCAGACGGAGAGGGCGAAGGTGAAGAGGCTTGACGTGCAGCTGAGAATGGTGATGGACTGGAGGGGAGGGGGGAAGGGGATAAGGGGCAAGCCAGGGAGTTGGAAAATTGACGAGCTCGTGAAGGAGGTAGACGGAGAGAGCAAAGGTGAAGAGGCTTGACGTGCAGCTGAGAATGGTGTTGGACTGGTTGACGGGGGGGGAGAAGGGAGGGGGGGGGTTAGCAAAGAGAGGAGAAGGAGGTAGTCGGAGAGAGCAAAGGTGAAGAGGCTTGACGTGCAGCTGAGAATGGTGTTGGACTGGTTGACGGGGGGGGAGAAGGGAGGGGGGGATTAGCAAAGAGAGGAGAAGGAGGTAGACGGAGAGAGCAAAGGTGAAGAGGGTTGACGTGCAACTGAGAATGGTGTTGGACAGATGGAGGGGGGAGGAAAGCAGGGGGCACGAAGGAGAGGGCAGGAGGCGAGGGGAGGGGGGAGGGGGATTCAGCAATTCAGCGGAATGGCACAAGCGTGCGTGTGTGTGTTGAGATTGGCGATTCAGCAACAGCGATATGAAACCCATGCAATAAGCCCCAGGCGACTCACAGTGATGCTGCAAGAGGTTTTGAGTCAACTCAAAACACGACTCACAGTGATGCTGCGAGAGGTTGAAAGTGAACTGAGCGAGGAAGCACACACGGGGCAGATGGGCAGACACAACAAGAGGGGGGGAGCCTCCAGAACTTACAGTGACGCCCATGGGATGCCTGGAATGAATGAACCCCATGTACCAGGACTCACAGTGACACTGGTGTAGGCGAGAGAGAGGTTGAAGGTGAACTGAGCGAGGAACCACACAGGGCAGATGGCCAGACTCACTCCCGCCACTCGTCCCCTCGTCCACCTCGCCTCCTCCACTGCTGCTGCTGGGATAGACGGCGCTGCTGCTTTTCCCAAGCTCAATCCTGAATGCTCCTGCTGTTGCTGCTGCTGCTGCCGCTGGTGCTGATTCTGCACGTCCTTTTCCCGTCCTTGTTGCGTAGGCTCGGAACTTCTATGCTCGGAAGGGCTTGGTGTGAGACTCGGACCCGAGCCTGGGCTGCCGAGCCAGAGCCTGAACGAGCCTGCATCGAAGGATCGGTGACCCCAGTGGCGGAAAGAGGGGGAGGCGAGAATCTCTGCTGACGTGGACGAATTGGATTGGACAGACTCCTTGCTGCCGGATTGAGCCAGAGCAGTATGAAGCGAGAGATGGGTTGCCAGCTCGTCAGCCCCCCTGTCCACGTCAGCATGAGCTGGACTACTTCCACCATGCAGCGAAAGCCCTTCTATTTGGCTTTCTTCCCCTTTAATAGGCACCCTAGCAAACAAATCATCCACTCTCATGCTTTTGAGATTCAGCGGTACTCAGTTGCTCCTGGTAACCCCCTGCTCTCTCTGCTCCTTCTTCCCCCTCCCCTGGTCCCTTCTCCCCTTGCGCTGTCTCTACCCCGCCATGTCCGGGCGAGTTTTCCCTCCCAATCATCAAATCTAAGCTTCCCTCGTGCCTCTCTTGCCCCTTTCCTCCTTGCTTAGCCTCGAACCCTCTTTGCCCCTGTGCTACCTGCTCCTCCTGCTGCCCCAACTGCCTCAGCAACCCCTCCCATTCCCCCCGCTCCTCCCGCTCCTCCTGTTTCTCCTGTTCCCCCTGCTGCCCCTGGTTGTCCGTTGCTGCCCCTCCCCTTGCCCCCTCAACTCCCCTGCCCCCCGTACACCCCAGTCCCATCCAACCGCCCCCACCCTCCCCCGGCTGCCCTTGATTTCCCGCACCCCTGCCCTTGTTTCCTACCATCCATGCCCCTCGTTTCCCCCCTTTGTACGTTCAGCCTCTTCCCTCCCTGCCCCTCCCCTCCTCCCCCCCTGCCCTTTGCGTTCCCCTCGTTACGCTCCCTTCTCCCCATCCCTGCTGCCCTCTTGCCACCATCAGCCCATCCGCACCACCAGCCCCCCTCCCACCCTTCTCTCGCCCCTGCCCCACCCCCGAGCCCACACCCGGAGGTGCGACGCCCTGGGCCCGCGGCCCCCGCTGGCTCTCCTGCTGCTGCCCCTGCTGTCCCCCCTCCACGTCCTGGCCCGTCTGCTCCCCCTGCCGTCCCCTCTGCCCGCCTGCCCCTCGCGCCACCCGACCCCGCAGCTGATGCTGTCCCGACTGCCTCCCGCTGCCCGGCTGTCCCGCCTCGCCCCTCTGCTCCAGCGGTCCCTCAACCCGTGTCTCCTCCCCCACCACCGGCTGTCCCTGCAGTCTCGCCCGAGCCGCCTCCAACTGTGTGAACAGCGTGGTGTCCTCCACCTTCACCGCGAAGCCCGCCTCGACCCCGAAATCTCGAAGCATGTACTTCACCGTGTCGTGGATGGTCGTGGCGACGCCGAAACGTGGGCACCGAACCGCGTGATGAGGCACCGTCATGTCGTCGATCGCCTGTCCACAGGAGCACTGACCTGCAAGGGCTAGCTGGGGGATAGGGAGACCAAGACGAGATGATGACGCCACCTGCCACAGCGCCTCCGGGATGCGCAGTGGATCGGCGTACGGCACCGACGTCAACCACGCTCCTGCACCTCCGCCCTGAAGGGAAGTCAAACGGGCAAGGTGCAGGGAGAGGTGTGACGGGCACGCACGGCCTCCAAGGCATGCGCCTCCAGAAGGCGGCTCGCTCCTGCAAAAAGGGAATCAGGGGAGGCAGAAGCGCAAGAGGGCCAGGAGGGAAGGAGAGGGAGAACGTCAGGTGGGAGACCCTCTAGCGCCGTCTGCAGAGCCCGGTCGATCTGCTCTGGCTCACCAGAAGCGAAGCTCTGCCGAAACACCTCGCCACACGCAGGGAGAGAACAGAGAATGGGTGCACACTGCACCCAAGAGCACACGAAACTCACCGGGGCAATGCGCGCCATGCGACGAATGCCGAAACCCCCGAGACGGATGGGGAGGAAGATCTGGTCTAGGGCGGCCTCTCGGACGTCCTCACGACAAGCCCAGGTCCCTTCTCCCGTCCCTCTTCTTCCCCCACCATCCCTCCGTCGCTCCTCTCCTCTTCAATATCCCCCAACCCCCTCGCCTTTTCCTCTTTTACCAGCAATCCCCTTTCTTCCTCATCTCCAACCCCGCCCTCCTTTGTCTTCTTCTTCCTCAGACTGATACTGGTTACCATGTTACCACCACCCTCATTGTTCTTTCTACTGTTTTTCCTGCCAAAACGGCCTTCTGAATCGCCCTTTCCGCTGCCCGTTCCGCTGTTGGAGGAATGACTTCCAGGCTCGTCCTTTCCGAACAGGTACCACCAAAGCTCTACAACAGGGATGTAGAGCACGAATAACGAGTTGCAGATGTACGTGAGTATGAAGGGCGCCAGACCATCTTCCACCACAGCCTGGAAAGGAAGTAACGGGACACACGGGAGAAAAGTACAACAGGGTCGATTTTGAGTCGACTCCGATAACGAGTTGCAGATGTACGTGATTATAAAGGGCGCCAGACCATCTTCCACCACAGCCTACAAAGAGAATGAAGGGACAGAAGGGAGAGCGATAGAGAGAGAAAAAAAAACGTAAAATAATTAGAAACAAGACTCGTGTGTGCACTCAAATTTCGTGCACTGAAATCCCGTGCAGAGGTTCTCTATTCTATCCGCGCTATAAGCTTATAAACTCTTTCTTACCTGCACTATGTAGCTCCCGGAGATCAGATTTAAGCCACGGCCACCACCAGTGCCATGCAATGAAGCACAGATGATCAAATTGAGTTAACTTATAAAGGTTCTCCTCCTTACCTGCACTATGTTGCTCGCGGATATCAGATTAAAGCCACGGCCACCACCAGTGCCATGCAATGAAGCACAGATGATCAAATTGAGTTAACTTAGAAAGGTTCTCCTCCTTACCTGCACCATGTAGCTCGCGGATATCCAGATTAAAGCCACGGCCACCACCAGTGCCATCCCCTGCAGCCATTTCAGGTGGCTCGCATCCATTGGTGGAACGACCGGCCAATTAGGCTGCCGCGTGGAAACTGGCCAATCAGCGGCCACGACGTTGAGAGTTGGCAGGAGAAAGTAACTGGATATGCGTCGGCTGAGAGGGTTGGTCAGTCAGACATTCATGTCTCATGCCAATTAGCTGTTTCAGCAGGCTGGCCAATTAGCTGTTTCAGCAGGCTGGCCAAATTAGCTGTTCCAGCAGGCTGGCCAATTAGCTGTTTCAGCAGGCTGGCCAATCAGCTGTTTCAGCAAATTTATACATGTATGCTTTACGCCAATCAACCTCCGTAGCTCAAAAAGCATCCGAATTTCCAAGATTTCGCAGTGCACCTCGTACAAGTTACAAGCAGGGTAAGCAGGTAACTATCCGCACCAATGGTGAAATATTAATCGAACGAACCAGCGCTTAGGGTAAAAAAAGCAGCAAGAAATCCGTAATTGTTGGCGTTAGGTGAGATGAGCTACCTTCAACCTAATGCGGCTCGACAAGTTTCGTCCCAGTTCTTCTAGATTGTCCATATAACGTGCTAGTATCGTATGCACATGTAAAGCAGCAACAAGATCAACCACTGTGATTCCTCGTGCTTCTCGAGCAAGCATGGATGACCTTTGAGCTAATAGTCGGTTAGCTACGGTTTCGCGCAATTGAAATTGTTTTGCGACATCTACTACTTGCTGATCGCCCGGTACGGTTTAGAACGTTCTTATACGTTACACCACCCGTCTAGGTTTCTCACCGCTACTGACCGCAGCTCACCAAACCTAACCGTGGTTTTGGTATTGTACGAAAATGGGTCATCAGAATTCCCTGAATATTGCCGAGCTGAACTGGGCAGGGTTTTGCTCGTAACGAACGGTTGAGATTCCGCGTCGGCTTAAAAAAAGTTGTTCACTTTCAGTGGAGTGTGATTGGACAGATGTGCTGGCCCAACGGGTCTGTACAGCTGGCGCAATACAAGCTGGGAAATGATCAAAAACGGGCCCCGGAGTAGCAGCAAAGTGGCCGAATTGGGGCCTCGTGAGTCGCGCCCCTACTACGTACCCCCGAAGCAACCAACACACCTGGGCAGTTAGGCCGAGCCCGGCCTTCTCGCCAGGTCACCACCTACTGGCCTGGGGTTGACGGAATTCGCTAGTGACTCGTAATCGTAAATTACCCAGAAAAACAATAATTTTAACCCAAAAAAACAACATCGCAATGGCACAAAAAATAAACCCCATTCGGATGGCATATAATTGGGGAAGCATCAACCCTAAATACCGTGCGGCAAGTGTCAAATTAGGCTCATAACTCACTGCTTAGTTACCTAGGGTTTTGGCTAGGAAATATGAGTATGGAGAGGAAGGCTTGGCAAAAGAGGATGATTGATTAGAAAGGAAGGTACAAGTAGGAGAAATGGTGGGCAAGATGGTGCACCACCAATAATGACAGTAGCACTACACAGTAGCTACAGTAGTAGGCAGTTATAAGAAATTTACAATTTCTAATACACCCCCTAACTGCATGCAGTAGGAGCCATGTGCAGAGACACCAAATCAGAGTAGCACAGTAGATGTACGGTTGCAGAGGCACCGGTGGCAGGTGCGGCGGTGGTAGGTAGACTTCACTCCCGCCACCCCCTCACCCTCCTCCCCCACTGCAGTAGGTGTGGCAGTAGGAGGCGGCTGTTGCTGAAACATGGGGAGGCGGCTGCTGCTGAAACACGGGGAGGCGGCTGCTGATGAAACGCGGGGAGGCGGCTACTGCTGAAGCGCAGGGAGGCGGCTGCTGCTGAAACACGTCCGCCACCCCCTCACCCCCCCCCCTCACAGCAGCAGGCGCAGCCGTGAGAGAGGAGGCGTGGCGGCAGCTGCTGCTGCTGAAACACATCCGCCACCCCCTCACACCCTCTCCCCCCCTCCCCCCCCCCAAACTGCTGCACGCGCAGCAAGGAGATGGAGGAGAAGGGGGGGGGGGGGGGGGGGGGTATGAGCTGCGCGTGCGACTGCAGGGCCCGCGGGCAGGCAGAAACCGTCGTGCACTCGAGGCGCGCGACGGGCAGAAACCGACGTGCAGCCGGGGCGCGCATCGGGCAGAAACCGACACGCAGCCGGGGCAGGCATCGGGCAGAAACCGTCGCGCGCAACCGACGCGCAGCCGAGGCGCGCGACGGGCAGGAACCGATGCTCGCCCTAGGCGCGCGACGGAGAGCTTGACGGACTGCGCCATAGCAGAAGCTAATGGTGGGCCCAAAGATGAAGGCTCTAGGAACGAGTCTGCTCTGATACCATGTCAAATTAGGCTCATAACTCACTGCTTAGTTACCTAGGGTTTTGGCTATGAAATGTGAGTATGGAGAGGAAGGTTTGGCAAAAGAGGATGATTGATTAAAAAGGAAGGTACAAGTAGAAGAAAGGGTGGGCAAAATGGTGCACCACCAACAATAACAGTAGCACTACACATTAGCTACACAAGCAGGCAGTTATAAGAAATTTACAATTTCTAACAGCAAGATGTTAAGGGCTAAGGCCCCTTCGAAGGCATGACGCACGAGAGGAAAATTCGTCAATTTTTAGATGTAGAGTCAATTTTTAGATGCCGAGTCAATTTTTTCTATGTCGTCAAGGAGAAATTCGTCACCTTGTGTGGTCAGGTCTGACGGAGTGCGTAGATGAGGCTAGAAATTGGTTGGGCACAGGTCCGGCCCAGGTTCGACTCCTTGCGACACACGAGGCCCCAAGTTGGCGACTTTTCTAGACCTCTGGGGCCCCAATCTGATCATTTCCCATACAATCTGCCTCTATAATCGTAGGCCCTCATGAACCTACACATCAATGTATCCACTTGTTTTAACATAGTTATCACCATACCATGGGGTGACATACGGTACCAGTGCACATAGCTTTCATAAGAACAATAACCTTCGTGTTATAATTTGAAATGACTGAATAGGATCGTATTACTTAGGATGGTAGCTTCCTGTCGTAGCGGAAGTCTTGTATGAATTAAAGCCAGTTAAGGAGGCTTTGTCTGGACTAGTGAAAGCCCATGTAGTGATATGTTTCAGGATCAGTGTCTCTGAAATCAGATATATTATAAAATGACAAGCATACATAATATATAGCTAGAGTAAAGTACCTTTTCGCCTATTGTACTGTGCTATTCTCGCTATTCCTGTTCTGAAACGGTACGTGACTATTCGCGAGGCCTATAGCTACGTGCTGACGTCATCCTAGGGCGCGTAGCGCTTTGCTGACGTCAGCCTATCGGTACTTTACTGTACTACACGAATTTCCTTGAAGTGCTTAAGTCTCGATATTATCTCAACACTCCCCTTCACTTCTAGGAGTTCGGTGTAGTTACCCAGTTGTCTCAGAAATTCCGCTGAGCTGGTTGCAGTGGTGGAATTTCTGTCGTGTCAGCTTATTGGTAAGTGAGTCAGCTGCCATGTCACTAGTGGGGCAGTAGACAAGGCGCATTCTCCCCTTGTCGATCGCATCTTTGACAAAGAAGTAACGCAGTGAAATATGTTTCGTGCGATTGACGAAGCCGGGCTTGTTGGCGATGGTAATTGCACTCTGGTTGTCGCACTGCAACGTAAACTGATTTGACGTGACGAATTTTGCTTCGTCGAGCATGTCGGAAACAAGAAGTGATTGAACTATGAAAGGTGGGAGTACAAGTATGAAACCCTAGAGTTGTGTACCCCCTAAAGGCTAACCCTCTATAGCCTACACAGCAATAACATATAGATAATGTTTGACACACCCCCATAGGCAAAGTGGGGAGAGCAAGGGGTCACAAGACCAGTCAAGAAAGGCAAAGCAAGCTCAGGGTGGATCACAACGTCACCACACAATCTGAGCACAAGCAAAGGGCCACAGGGCCAGTTCAAATGCAGAGGCATATATACAACAAAAAACAGCAAGGTGATCTCAGCCTAACAAAGCAAGCAGGTATATATATATAGAGATCACAGTACAGACAAAGCCTACAGTAAGTGAGGAACAGTGGGCACAAGCCCCAGTACAGTACAGAAGCGCTGATGATCACCAGGCTGAAGAGCCTTGGTGAATATATTAGCGGTGTTGGCCCGAGTGGCCACGTAACGCAGACAAAGCTGACCGCGCTGCTGCAGCTCTCGAGCCAGGAAGTAACGGAGAGCGATGTGCTTCGTTCTGTGCTCCAGTCTGTGCTCCTGACACAAGGCAATGTGAAGAAAGAAACAGGAATGAATGAACTAGGAAAGTGTGAGATACAAATATGAAAGCTGTACCCCTTAGTGTCTACCCCACTACAGCCTACATAGGCTAAGGCATATACATCTGACACACCCCCATAGGCAAAGTGGGGGAGAACTAGGGGTCATAAGACCAGTCAAGCAAAGCAAAGCAAAGCAAGCTCAGGGTGGATCACAACGTCACCACACAGTCTAAGCACAGGTTCAAAGGCCACAAGGCCAGTTCACATGCAAGTTCATATATAAAGGTAAACAAGCAAGTGCAGGTATATATAGATCACAGAACAAGTAAAGTCAAGAGGTAAGCAAGTGAGGCCAAGTAGGCACAAGACCTAGCATAGTACAGAAGCGCTGATGATCACAAGGCAGAAGTGCCTTGGTAAAGATATCAGCAGTGTTGGCCTGAGAGGCCACGTAAGCAAGGCGCAGCTGGCCACGCTACTGCAGCTCACGAGCAAGGAAGTAGCGAAGAGCAATGTGCTTCGTTCTGTGCTCCAGTCTGTGCTCCCGACACAAGGCCAGCATGGCCTTGTTGTCTACGTACAGAACTGGAGGAGAACGAGGCGGCTCTCCCAGGTCAGTCAGCAAGTAGGTGAGCCAGCGTAACTCCTGTGCAGCCATGGCCCCTGCGTAGATCTCAGCCTCACAGCTGGAGCTGAGAACAGAAGACGAGCGGATAGACCGCCACGAAACAGAGCCGGAACCAAGGCTGAAGGTGTAACCCTGTGACGACCGCTGTGTAGCCAGGTCGTCCACCCAAGACGCGTCTGCGTG